GCTGCCGCCGCTCTGCTGCAGCCGCAGCTGCAGCTCTGCAGAGCAAGGCTGGGGGCTGGGGCCGGGGCGCCCTCCCTCCCACCTTTTCCCGCCGCTATGAGCCAGGGAAGTTCGGGGGACTGGGCCCCACTCGAGCCCACCTCCGGACCCCCAGCGCCCCCCAATCCCTTCGTACATGAGTTACGTCTCTCCCGCCTCCAGAGGGTTAAGGTAAGGTGTGGGCTGGGGGCGACGGGAGGACCCGTGGGGACAGGAAACAGAGGCCTTTTAGAACTGGCAAAGGTGGGGATGGGGATCCGGAAAGGAGGTGGGTGAGAAGCTTACGGGGCAGGAGTCGGGGATTGCGCACGTGGGGGTGGTGGGGGTGAGCTAGGAGTCCTGGAGAGGACGCAGGCTTGGGCGATAGACAAGATCCAAGATGTGGAAGAATTGGCTAGGTGAGGATGGAGGACTGCAGGGGATCTAGGGGTAGGGGAGATGGAGAAATCTGGGGAATGCGGATTACATCCTGCGGAGGCCGATGGGCTAGAATAGAGTTTGAGGCTACGGAAAGCCGGGAGTGGGGGCAGGGGTATGCTGAATGCTTCTCCGAGGCTCTGAATTAGAGGAAACGGGTTTCTGGGCCTGGAGCCTGCGCCCCTGTGCCCTTCCAACGCCCCCTCTTTCCACTCTCCCCCACCCTGCACTGCAGCACCTCCTGGTGGGGGAGAAGGCTGAGAAGGGGGTTGGCTACAGGAAGTGCAGGGTCGCACCAGCCTAGCGGAACTGATGAGTCGCGTGGGGAGTGTCCAAGGTTTCTGCTGCCATCACCTCCCCTGAGGCGAGCCCCTGGGGCCTTGTTTGTTTACCTGCACTCTCCCCAGGGCAGCCCATGGAGTCACCCTGCCTCCTGGCAACCCCTGCCCTGCGGAGTAGGACTGAGCTCTTCTCATCTCCACCCCTCAGTACTAGGGACGTGCTTAGGCAGAACTAGAGACTGGCCTGCGGCCTAAAAAGTGGACCTCTGTGTGTTGCAAACCTCAGCCACCCAGGCTCAAAGTGGAAAGAGCCATGCACCTGGTTTCTGTTGGACTTAGGAGCTATTTATGAAATGGGACGTGGGGGAGGAGGAAATATGTCTAGCCGCCACTTCAATCACTGTGCTGGGGCTATTATTAAATCCTCTTAACAGCCTTTCCAAGCGCTAGATGCACTTTATGACATTCGATTTTGTAGGTAGTATGGTGACCAACTGAAAGATAGAAGAACGAGGCCCCTGATCCCATTCATCTTTTATCCTCTTGCCCTCGTTGGTATCTTCATCCCACCTTGGATTCCAACCCCTCTCCTGTTCCCATACCACCTGTCACCTTATCTACAGTGTGTGGTGGCTCTCTGCTCCTGGGTCTATCCTTGTGGGACAGGTAAGCCTTGGAGGGAGCGTCTCCCAGCCCTGAAATGGCATTCTCACCCACCCTCTGCAGTTCTGCCTCCTGGGGGCACTGCTGGCCCCCATCCGAGTGCTTCTGGCCTTTATCGTCCTCTTTCTCCTCTGGCCCTTTGCCTGGCTGCAAGTAGCTGGTCTTACTGAGGAGCAGCTTCAGGAGCCACTTACGGGATGGAGAAAGTAAGTGGGAGATGAGCCCCCAGACACCCTACTTCTCACTTCTCTTTCCTGCTGTTCGTTCTGCTCCCTCTTTAAGAAGAAGGGGGAGGGTTCGGAAGCTCTGGTACCCAGCCTGGTGAGGTGAGATGAGTCAGCCAGGCTCAGACCTGGTACCCAGGACCTCAGCACTAAGTGATGTGCCCTGGTATGTCCCAAATTAGCTAAAGACTTCCACTCCTTGGCCAGAGTAATAGAGGGCAGAAGGAGGGCTTATGCTTTCCTGGGTACCTAAGCCTAGGGGTAAGTAAGGCTCAGATTCCCTGCCTCCACTGACGCCCCACCTTACCCTGCAGGACCGTGTGCCACAATGGGGTGCTGGGCCTCAGCCGCGTGCTCTTTTTCCTGCTGGGCTTCCTCCGGATTCGTGTTCGAGGCCAGCGCGCCTCTCGCCTTCAAGCCCCTGTCCTTGTTGCGGCCCCCCACTCTACTTTCTTTGACCCCATTGTTCTGCTTCCCTGTGACCTGCCCAAGGTCGTGTCCCGAGCTGAGAACCTTTCTGTGCCTGTCATTGGAGGTGAGAGAGTTTAAGAGGGGTCAAGAGGAGAGATGATATCTCTGGGCAAAAACAAATCAGATGGACACTTTCTGAAGAGAACTTGCCTCAAGGTTGGGTGCAGGGGGATATTGGGGGATGGGAGTTAGAAAAGATATCGACCTATGGGGCAAATGAAATTCAAATTTGTAAACCTACCCCTGGGGCTTAGTGTTGGAGAGAGCTCTGATCAGTTCCCTAAAAGGATAACATACAATAAACAAAAGGGTCCCCAGGACAAAGAGATAACCGAGAAGCATTTCCTACTGTTGAGGAAGGGGTGGCTGCATGTGTTAATGCCCCTGATAGGAATCTTGTATCCTCTCCCGGCCCCCAGCCCTTCTTCGCTTCAACCAAGCCATCCTCGTATCCCGCCATGACCCAGCTTCTCGGCGCAGAGTGGTGGAGGAGGTCCGAAGGCGGGCTACCTCAGGAGGCAAGTGGCCCCAGGTGGGTAAGGGTTTTAGAACTCTTCACCTTTTATGTGCTCCTGAAAAGGCTTCTCTTTCCTCTCTCCTCCCTTTCAGCCTACCCCACCTCATTCTGGTCCCTTGGTTTTTTCCCCAGGTACTGTTCTTTCCTGAAGGCACCTGTTCCAACAAGAAGGCTTTGCTTAAATTCAAACCAGGTGAATAAAATGATAGTGGGTGGTAGAGCTATAGGAAAAAGGAGCCTCAGATTTGGAGAGGGATGCTGGAATAACCAAGGAAGTGGAGGGGCAGGGCAGGGGTGGGGGCGGGGAGACAGGGAACCACCTAGCTGACACTGAGGAGTCTCAAAAAGTCAGAAGAAAAATTATAAATGAAACAGAGCAAGGCCAGATCTCATTTGAGAACTGTACCAGATCCCTATACTTCATGCCCTCTAGCTACCTCTACTAACCTCTGCCTGGGGGGGGGTGGGGGCGGAAATGGGATTTAGGAGCCTTCATCGCAGGAGTCCCTGTGCAGCCTGTCCTCATCCGCTACCCCAACAGTCTGGTGAGTCTTAGTCCAAGAGATGGGGGAGGGGAAGTATGAATTCACACTAATGGGTGAAAAATGTTAGTGCCCTGAGGGATGTGCATGTGGGGATGGGGCCAGGGCGGGATCAGAGCCTCTCCTCAAAGAATGTGAGCCAATTCCAGGAAAGAAAGTAATGCCTTTCTCTCCTCACCTCTGTTTCTCCTGTAGGACACCACCAGCTGGGCATGGAGGGGCCCTGGAGTGTGAGTTCTGGTGTTCCTGGGGTGAGGGTGGGAAGCAGGGTGCATCAGAGAATTTGTGGCCCACCTTCCAATCTTCCAGACAAGGCAAATGGCCTTTCATTCTCTGACAAGAGAACTCTAGAGGAGATGCCTGTTTCCCACTGTTTTGTTCTGATCTCCTGGTGTGAGAA